TTTTTGGGAGTAACACATTACACATACATGAATTTGGAGAATATCTGATATTATTTTTTTGTTGAGTCATCCAAATGAACAAAAAGGGTCGTCTTCCCATTCGTTCAACTCTGTTTTCGTCTCTCAGGAGTCTTTGAAATGTTCCTTATAAAGGTTTTGTACATTACTGCTAGGTTTGGTTTATTTTATTATTTTATTTTATTTTTGAAATGGAGCCTCGCTCTTTCACCTATGCTGGAGTGCAGTGGCACAATCTTGGCTCTCTGCAACCTCTGCCTCCCGGGTTCAAGCAATTCTCATGCCTCAGTCTCCTGAGTAGCTTAGCTGGGACCACAGGCACGCACCACCTTGCCTGGCTAATTTTTGTATTTTTAGTAAAGATGGGGTTTAGCCACGTTGGCCAGTCTCAAACCCCTGACCTCAGGTGATCCACCTGCCTCACGGCCTCCCAAAGTGTTGGGATTATAGGCATGAGCCACAGTGCCCAGTCATATTTTTTTGATGACATGTTAAACTTCTTTTTCTGTCATTACTTTTACAAGATAATATCATTATATGGGATTGCCAAGTTAAGTTTCATACCATATGAAAATAAACATAATTTTCTTTCTTTCTTTTTTTTTTTAAAAAAAGCTAGTTCCTTTAAAATTCTTTTTTGAAGAACAAAGTTTCTAAAATGACCACCCATGCAATGGGCTCAAGGATGTGAGCTATAAGCACCTCTAAATCCCTTCAATTTACTAAGTCCTAGCCAGAGAAATAATAGAAACAGACTTGAATATGGGAAAAACCCCTGCAGCTCCATCAGTTTGATTTCTGGGAGAGGAAACTAAAACTTGGTTTCCTCCCAATGAGCATTCAACAGGTGCAAGTGGTACAGAGAGGTTTTTCCTTCCAGAGAGATCAGAAGATAAAGCAGAAGAAAGATCAATTTCATTCTTCTACTGGGCTACTAAGCAGCCCAAGCCCTTGCATAATCTAATGAAACTCAACAAAATCCCAATGAAGAAAGGCACACAGGGGGAAATAGGGGAGGGACAGCGGTGGGTGGGGAGCTGGGGAGAGATAGCATGGGAAGAAATGCCAGATATAGGTGATGGGAAGGAAGGCAGCAAATCACACTGCCACGTGTGTACCTATGCAACAATCTTGCATGTCCTTCACATGTACCCCAAAACCTAAAATGCAATACAAAAATTAAAAAATAAATTAAAAAAAAAGAAAGGCACAGAAATGAGAAACTTGGCCTAGACATCTCATCCTTTATCCCTATTAATAATAGTAAAAGTAAGAATTGCTATTTTTTATTCAGTGCCTACTAAGACTAGGTCCTTCACACATATAATGTAAGCAATCTATCAAATTCCAATAGGCCTGCAAAGAAGGTATTTTAGTTATCTGCATATTATAGATGAAAGACTCAGAGAAATTCAGGAACTTTCTCAAGGGATCAGACAGCTAGTCAGTGCTAAAATGGGATTATGACTAAATCCCACTGTACTTTCTTTGCTGTCACTTCCTTGCTATGACAATTAAAACAGCAAAGTCAGCAAACATTAGACTTTAGTACTTTTCTAATGCAAGCTTTCAATACCACTGTTCACCATTGATCTGAGTTATATGTTCCAGAAATACAATTAGCTTAAATACTAATCAAATTTTACATTGGTTACATCCTCTGTCTTACACTATTATAGGCTAACATATTTCAGAATTATTGTTATTGTACATATTTCTCTTTAGGTTTCAGATTTATCTTTCTTTTCATATTCATCCAGCCTGGTAAAAACCTACTAAGTTCATCAGATTGCTTGGCTTTGTAAATGGCATATTCATTTACATGGTTAAGTTCTCCGGAAATAAGCTTTCTTTGCTTAAAGACTGAAAATTACTAAGACTTTTTATGTTTTAATAATAAATTCACAATTTTCTACAAGAGCAAACCCTTCAACAGGCTGATCCTGATGCCAACATATAAAATATCTTTTCCTTTTTACTAAGGCACTGGTCTGTGTTTGTAAATCAAGTAATTCAAACTTTTAAAACAAAAACCCCATAAATGTTGGTATAACACATCTTTAAAATGCCAAAAAATCAAAATTAATGGATATAGTTTCTCACACAGAAACAGACTTTAAAACGATCTGAAATTATCTGATTTCACATATATGTAAGAGTCTGAATCATTCATGTATGATAGGTAAATGTACTTGTAGTTAAAATTATATTATTTTAAATTATAACCTCATTTTATGTTTCTAAGTTTTATAGAGTTTTATGTACTGTAAAATCATCTATATTAACCTTTGACAGGTTTATTCTGGTAAAGGAGATTTGTACCTGAGCAATCTACTTGGAATAAAAACCATAAATGTCATTTTTAAATAATGTCTTCCTTTCTTCCTTCTTTGATAAAGTTCTATAAATACTATCTATATTTTGATGATTTAAAAAAAATCTTCAACCAGTTTTACCAACTAAACCATTTTAATTTTTGACAATAATATAACATTTACTCTAATCCTTATTCATAATAACAAAGAAATGCTTAGGCCAAATCCCTTTTTACTATATGTAAAATAAACCACATGGCTAAAAGTCTTTGACTTTACTCACATACCTTTTCCTTTCCTTTCTTAGCATATAAATCATGAACCAGCAAAGCTTTACTGTAGAGTCAAATAATAAATATTTTAGGTTAGGAAATCCATAGCGTGTTTGCTGCAATTACTCTACAGTTGATGCACAAAAGCAGCTGCCACAATACATAAAGGGATGGGTGTGGCTGGAATTAGCTGGCACCCTACTGCATGTGGCCCATGGTAGTAGTGTGCTCACCCCTGAGCTAAAACATGAGGAAAACATGAAAAATACTATCCCTGCAGTAAATTCTATCTGAATATTTAGCCTGACAAAAGAAACTATTCACAGCCATGCTAAGTACAGACTGCCTTCGCACTGAATAGAATTAATCTTGACCCAGAGAATGCTAAATATAAAAGTCTACTTGAATTAGATTCTACTTTTCCAGATAACCACAAATTTTTCTTATTTTTCTTAAGTATTTTACCAAACAAGGGCCCACTCTAACTGTGGCCTGATTTTCTAAACTGTCTACTACCAGTCCCTCTCACCTTCCCCTAACTCATCCCAATTCCACTGTATTCTATAGATTTTTTGTCCCAGGAAGGTTGAAGTATCACCACCTCCTCTCCATACAAAGAGTGAACTGTATTTCCCCTACCTCTGCTATCAGAGTTGGAGACTAACTTAATTTCCAGTCTTCTTCTCCACTGCTACCTTCTACTACATAAGTTGGACAAGCTAAATGCTTATTTTTTTAGCCTCCTTTGCAGCCTACCATGGCCACATCATAAAACAGAGGACTTTTATGAATATCATGTAAAAGACTACTGGGTGGGGAGTAGGGAGGGCTCTCATAAAGTTTTTATGTTTTTAAAAAGAGGGGGAGGGAATCATAATTACCTGGACCTTTTCCCCTTTTCTGCTTGTTTTAATGCCTAGAAATGCAATGCCTAGAATCAGATCAACCATTAAAACAAACAAACAAACAGAATTGTAAAGATGCCAGCACTGAAAACATTAAGCCACTGAATCTCCATGACCTCCAGAGTTCTTGTTACCTGAGAAATAACGAAGCCTGTAAATTAAATTTCTGTTGCAAACGAAAGCATTCCTAACCTACCATTTCTTGAAAATGCTAGCATCTAGAGTACTACTCCTCATGAGAAGCGGAAGAGTAAATGAAACTGGCAGAGCAGTTTGTTATGAATTCTGACTAAACAGCATTCCTTTAAACCTGGCAGAAAAGGTGGCAGGAAGAAAAACACAAAAGGTAATCTGTCTTGAGGATCGACAACCAAGGGCAATGAAGTCAAAGTGGGCAAAAAAAAGAGAAGGTCAGAGATGTAGAAATGTTAGAGATGTAGAAAAAAATAATAATTGAAAAAGCAGTCATCTAGAATTGTAGGCCCAATCAGCCTTATTAATGTTATATTCAGCAAATCAATTCTGAGAATTCTGATTATATTAATTTCCTATCATGAACTCCCACTGCTTGGAAAATACAAGTTCGAGACACTGTTTTTATAGCTACAGTCTTGTGTTTTTCAAGCTAATTATTATAATTTATCTTTATGTTTCAATTTCTCTGGTATTCACAAAGGCATAGTTACTGTCAATATATGATCATTTTTGACATGTGCAGAATCTTTGAAACAATTATTAACAATCAAGTTGATGATACTGCCAATAAGAACAATGGTTGTTTCACACCTTCACACACTAGTTTAGCTGGCAGATCCATCACTCTAACTTGAAGGACTTCTCTTCTACATCAGTATTACTGCATAAAATACCAAAGATAAGTAATTCTACCTATTGAAAAGAAACTTCAGAAATAGCTTATTTTAACACACCTCTAAAATGTTACTTTACTTTCTTACAAATAATGCTATTCGTGCACATGCATGCACGTGTACACACACACACACACACACACACACACACACACACACACACTCCTCTCTAGTTCTAAACCCAATAGTTTTCTGCTACATAAGAAGGATTTGGTGGTTTTATGCTGCCATGTGAATATTTATCAGTTACAACATCTATACAGTAAAAAAGATTTTTTTTTAATTTTTATGATTTCAGAACAGAATTCCTAGGACTGTCAAAGCTTTAACTAGAAAGAATACCAAACACAAGGAGGTTTCCAGCTCAATTACAGTAGTGGAACAGAATTTAATAAAGTTCCAACACTATATTTTAATGCCCAAATTTCTTATCGTCTTTTTTAGTTGACAAGTATGTGCTTACCAGCATAACAGCAGCAGCAGAACAGCTGGATGGCCTTATCAGGCACAAAGGAAGCAACAGCACATACTGTTAAGTGTCGTTCTGATTGCCTAGAAATGGCAGCACATGCAGATTTATTCCCTGTTATAAATTAGAACAATTATTTCTCTGGAGTTTACCTTGTCTTCATGAAATAGCCAAACTTTCTGCACGTTAAAAAAGAGGACTTTCAAAAGGATATCTTCCCTTTCTTTGATGATCAGTTCATTCTGTTCTTCCAACTGCCTGATCTTCTTCTCAAATGACTCCTGCTCTGCTTTCAGTCTTTCCTCTGTCACTTCCTTTTCCTCACTTACTCTGAAAGAAATTAAAAAAAAAAAAATTTCTTAACGCCTATCAGAATAAAATGAAGTATGTGCCTACAGCTGCAGTTTATGAAACCAGACTTCTTCCAAAGGTACACCAGATTCTTCAGGAACACTCTGTTCTGTTTTGTTGTTGCTTTTAAAAAAAATGTGTAATCTCTCATAAGGCAATCTTTTTCATCTTTGTAATAAAAGATGCATGTAATTTTTACATTAAAAATGTTTTCAATCATCAGAAATATCTTAAATATGAAAAGACCTACAAAAGACACAGGTGCCAAATTATAATCCAGGACAGAAATATATTCCAATTTTTAAAACATGGGGTTTCATTTTTTAGTTACCAAAACAGGTACAATCAACTGATCTTGATTTACAATGTTTATTTAAATCCTATTAATAAACAAAATATGTACTTTAAATATTTTACAAATATACATTGGCAATTTTACTTTTTCCTAGTACTAATACTTTGCATTATTTAGTAGCATATAATTAATAGGATTAAATAAAAAGATGACATTAACATAAAGGAACGTTTGTAGTATCTGTATTCTTAGTCCAAAAAAAAAAAAAATCATAAAGTTAAAAACATTGACCAAGAAATGTGTAACTCTGAAAAGGATTCTAAATTATACCAAAAAGGGTAATTTCTGACAAGAGCACAAAGAGAAAAAAAAAAAATCTAAAAACAAACATGAACAACACCAACACTTTATTTGCAATTCACTAAAGTACAGATTGGGACAACCCTAATTTTCATTCTACTCTGTGTGCAGATACGTTAACCCCAAATTTCTCTGTTACTGGTACTTATTTCTCCACAGCTCATAGAATGCATTTATCCTATAATAGGAATAGGTGTAAGTGAAACACACAGGGAATCTAAACCTTTCCTTTGAGCTACTAAATTTACTTTTGCCCAGAATGCTACTCTACTAGAACAACTTCTGCACAACATGAATCTCATAGGCTTTCCTTATTTCCTGCCCTCTGGTAGAGATACTAAAATCAATGAAATAACTAAAAATTAGACTCATGAATGTTCAAGAGTTGACTGTATCTTGTTTTTGAAATAATTTGTGTGAAACCACATAGCACCCAGTAATGCTCAACAAATAGGTTTATTTCTTCTTGCTGATCATGTCATTCAAGTCATTTTCCCTGGCCTATATATTATTTATGTTTAGCATATCACTAGGCCCATGAATGGGATCCAGGCCCTTCTTTCAAAGAGGGTAATCTCAAAGACTGATATATTTACAAAGAATTCAGACAACTAAGCAAATATATATATATATATATATATATATATATATATATATATATATATATATAAAGAGAATTTATAGTTTGTTATCAGGTTATCCTGCTTCCCTTATTTCCATCTCTTTACAAAGTCTCCCCTTTTCCTGTTATTACACTCAAGTCCACTTACAATAACATCTTACAAAGTAACTTTGACAAAGTCTGCTTATCTCTCTGGGTATCATTCACCTCACTAAGAAAGAAAAAAGGCTAGACTACACAATTTTAAAAATCCTTTTCCACTGAAGCTCCAGAATTTGTTTTACTACATCATAGATATCTTGACATTGTATATATATCCTTTATAAATATGGAAAGCATTTGTAAAGAAGCAAAAATTTATCAAACATTTGGTCATGGAACAAGACATACAATACTATGATTTTGGCAAAAGCTATGCAGATAGGATGACAGAGTAATATGTAGATTAGGGAAATATTAAAAAGTATAAAGACGTGAAATTTGGCAGGAGACTACAGAAATGCAAAACAAAGGAGGTGATGAATCTGTAGGATAATATATAAAACAAAAAAAATGAGTGATGCTACATACAGGTTTAGTAGTCCTTATCTAAATGCTTGGGACCAGAAGTGTTTCAGATTTCAACTGGTTTCCAATTTGGGAATATTGATATTACCCTATGGGTATCATGCAGAACTTTTTTTTTACATTTTAAACAGTATCTTTAAATCATGGAGCAAGGAATAAGCAAACAGTGAATAATGCAAGGAGGTCTTGTTCCCATGTGGGGCACTGTGAGGATCCTGCTGTTGGTGTGTCCAGGCTGCTCAGAAACCTTTGCTAGGATTGCTGGTGTAGGAGAATTTGGGCATGCTCAAAAATGCTCTATCACAGCTACAGAGGTTTTGGGAGGGTTTTTCCCTTGTGGAGGTACACTAAATAAACTGTAGCTGTATGCCTGTGTTTTGACTGTGCCCTGTCACATGAGCTGGGGTGTAAAATTTTCCACTTTCAGTAACATGCTAGTGCTCAAAAAATTTCCAATTTTGAAGCATTTCAGATTTCAAATGTTTGTATTAGGGATACCCAATCTGTATAGTGAGGAAAGAATAAACACTATCAAGGTGAGAAAATATATAGCAAAATCTCTTTTACTTTAGACTGGTAAAATCTTGAAGACACAATGAGAGGAAAATCCATAAGTAGATACTGAAACATTTATTTTATTTATTAAAAGGTATTTAGTGAATACATACTAAAGGAAAAAGTAATCACAATCATTTTATTCAGTACAGAGTATCCAAAAGGGATCTAAAAAATGGCTTTCTGTAGTTTAAATCCCATTCATAAAAGCTATATATAGATGGAAGAACATCCCAAAGATTTGTTTCTTCAACAGACAATGCTCCATGATCATAGAAAACAGTAACAGAAAAGCAGATTGCAGGTTTACCTTAACATTAATCTACATGCATAGATTATCTCTAGAGCCCAGCCAGGTAAGAAAGTCCGTATGTCAGAGTCTGTGATGAGCTTTTCCCTAAATATATTTTATCCAGATAAAATCATTCTTTTCTAAATTTAGTTTTCAGGGTGGGCTTGAAATATCTGTTGCTATGTTATTAACCAGGGCTTTTTCTTTTTAATCTTTTCTGTTATGCTGCTATGATTCGACTATCCTTTAGCAACTATTAAGCCCTGGAAGGCTATAAAATTAACAAGCTGTATTAAGAACAAAGAGCAACATTTTTTCTATAGGCCTATCTAAACATATGCATGGTTTTTTTGTGGTCCATTAGCATAGTTAATATGAGCAAGTATATTAATACAGATTGGAAATGCAGAGGACCTGCCAATAAAACAACCTCAAGATTTGATATTCATTATGTAATCTGTCTTCTTACGCTCAACAGTATTTCCAATGAAGTATGTGTAACAAGATATTTGGTATCATGATCCATATTTTTCATCTAAGTATTCTCAGGCCACAAAGTAAAATAAAAAGACCTAATTCTCTATCTCATTTTAGAGAACAATAGTTAATCCTAACTTCTCCAGAGTTTCACTTTCTATGGTTTCTGCTATCTGATGTCAATCAGTAGTTCAAAAACATTAAACGGCAAATAGCAGAAATAATTAATTTTTAAGTTTTAAACTATGCACCCTTCTTAGAAGCATGATGAAATCTCACACCAGCCCTCTCTGTCCCACCAGGAACATGAATCATCCCCTTGTCCAGCATATCCACACTGTGTACAATTTCTGCCTGTGAGTCACTCAGTAGCATCTGGGTTATCAGACAGACTGCTGAGGTACCACAGTGCTAGTGTCCAAGTAATACTTATGTTACTTTCACTACAGTACAATGTTACATTCATTCTATTTATTAGTAGTTATTGTTGTTAATCTCCTACTATACCTAATTTATAAATTAAATTTTATCATAGGTATGTACTTATAGGAAAAAGCATCATATATACAGGGTTTTAGGTATCCACTGGGGGCTTGGAACATATCTCCTGCAAATAAGGGAGAATACTGTAGAGCAAAAAGCAAGTTAACACAATGAAAATCTAAATACATAAAAGGGAACTATTTGAATAATAGGATAAAATACACCTCCTTCCAGACAGTAGGAAATGTACAGTGTTGATTTGTTAATTATTTACAAGAAAGGCAGTAACCTGGTCATAAAGAAATCATCATTGTTGGTAATACCTTAGAGTACTTTTCAAAAACTTCCACGAAATGTACTCTTATCTAATAGGCAGGAGAATTCATACTCTTAAGAATTGGGTGGTAGGGCTGAAAATCATGCCAAAAGTACTAAATTTATTTGAAGTCTTATGCTTTACCTTAAACATTCATGCACATTTTGTATTCCTCTCAACAAAACAATCCTATTTTAATACAAAGAGTTTTCCCATACTCATCCATTCTAAATTTTTAAATAAAACTAATTTTTAAATAAAACTCATTTTAATAATTAATTAGTTCATTAATATAAACTATTTTTAATAAAACCAATTTTTAAATAAAACAAGAAATGGATTTATTTTATGCCTTTGCATACACCTGATACTCTTCCAAATACTCCAGAAATTGGTACTTTTACATGAATGTGAAAGGCAATGTCAAGTCAGTAAACCTATCTCAAAGAGAATTCCAGCTCACCTAATAGTCAAACAAGTTTCTTCCCTCTTTAATATCTACCATTTGGGAGGTGGGTATGCTCAATGCATTTTGCAAATTATGATTAGCAACTTAGTGGGCAAGATTGGAAAAGGAAGGAACAGATTTCAGAGTATGCCTAGCAGATAGCAAAAACTCATATTGTTTTTAAGCAAAGGTAATTGCATTGATAAAAAAGAAGGAATTTCTCATAACAAAGAAATATTTCAATGAAATCAGTTTAACTCCCTCTTTACAAATTTTAATGTTTGGCTATTATTTAAAATGTACTGCTAAAGAAACATAAGTGCTTTCAGGAATCACAGACATAGCAATATATGTCTAAAAGGGCTCTACGAACTACAAACCAGTATCTCTTATGAATATAGACATAAAAATCCTCAACAAAATACTAGCAAACAGAATGCAGATATATAAAAATAACTCTACATGATTACCAATTGGGATTTATCCCAAGAATGCAAAGTTGGTTTAATATCCAAAAGTCAATTAATGTAATATTATATATAGATAAAATAAGACAAAAATCAC